CACAGAGGAAAGATGGTGTGAGGACACAGCAAGTAGGTGGCCAGCTGCCAGACAAGAAGAGAGGCCCCAAGGAAAAAAAATTAAAATCCTGCTGACACCTTGATCTTGGACTTCTAGCCTCGGCCACTGTGAGAAAATTAATTTCTGTTGTTTAAGCTATCTAGTCTGTGGTATTTTGTATGGCAGCCCTGGCAAACTAATCCACTGACTAAAGGATCAGTTATGTTTTTTCAAAGGTTAGGTTAGATTTTTAACATTCCGTTGAGAAACTAAAGGGGCCCTAACCCAGAAAAGCAGCTAAGCAAATAAAGCACTAATTTAAGAGCCAATGTCTCAACCAAATCCATCTGCTCATGCATGGTTTATGAACAAGCAGCAGGGTCATCATTAGAGTAAAACATGTATCTAGTACTTACTATGTGTTGGCTGTAGGTCTAAGCACTGCTACTATATAAACTTGTTTCACCTTCACAAAACCAGATGGGGGAGATACTCTTGTACAGAAGAGGAAATGAGGGCACAGGAGGTGAGGCTGAGTCACTTAGCCGTGTGTGGGAGCTGGGATACCAACTCAGGGAGTCTAGTTCAGAGTGTTTGCTCTCACTACCTTTCCTTCAACAACCCCAACACACAGCAGTGCAAAGTGGTAAGAAGGGCACTTTACTTCTCCAGGCAGTTTCCTTATCTGAATAATGGGAATGATAATGCCTTTCTGCTGTTTGTGGGTCAACTGAGATAATTATGTAATAGTGCTTATAGGTGGGATTAGCCCCAGGCATTGCAGGCATATTTACTGGGTCTGAGATTCTTTTTTAAGATAGAGGGGCTCTATACTGAGCGGGAACCTATCATAGCCTTAGTTCCATGGAGGGCTTTTACCCCCTTCCAGTGGGTCTTATATCTGTAATACATGAGGGCTTAACTGTGCCCCCCACACAAGTCCATCACCCGTTGCCCTCAGGAAACTGTCCTGTGGACCAGTAAGAATGGCCAGGGGAGGTTCCCCTTCGCACATCCCTAGTCCCTGGAGCTGTTCTCTCCCACCTTCCCTAGGCTTCTGGAGAGCCCTTCGAAAATATCACATTTAGGAAAAGCAGAGTCCTTGCATGAAAAGTGTTTGTGATGAGGGCTCATTGAAAGTAAGGGAAGGTCAGCCAATGGAATAAGGCAAACACAGACCAGATCGTAAGCCATTCAGAGCCTGCAGAACCCATGTGAAGCTCCTCAGTCCCACACCCAGCAATCCAAAATGCATTCAAGCTCCTCACCTGCTATGGTCCAAGTGGCTGTAAAGGATCCTAATGCCAGACCAGCCTTCCCTGGAGCTGGCCACACATTCTCTAGGTGTGCCAGTGTTGGATTCAGTTCACCCACATTGCAGACACAGGCTCTCCCATAACCTCTGCAGCTTCTTTTCAGGCCTCCCACAGCTCAGGCCTTTTGGAATCACAATTGATAATGTGAGTTATCATTCAGTGACCCCCCTCTTTGAGACTTGGTCTCAGCATCATAGTCCATGCCTTTGATATACACCTGTTTGGGCTGATGACAATAATTAATTCTCTTCCTAGTCTTTTCCCCCCAGTTTTACTGAAAAATAATTGGCATACATCACTGTATAAAGTTTAAAGCATACAGCATGATGGCTTAATTGATACATATATGTTGTGAAATGATTACCATAACAGGTTCAGCTAACTCACCTTTTCACATAGACAGAATAAAAAAGAAAAGAAGGAAGAAAGACCCCCTTCCTAGTCTTGGCATTAACACAGGCCGCTGAATGGGGAGAGAAACACTCTTTTGAGAACCTACTTTTGAAATTGGCATTCCCCACATATACTTGCATTCCTTTGAGCTCACATTACTACAGCTGCTTTCATGCCTGGATCTAAACTCAGCTCATCTCACGTCTGGTGCAGCTGAATTACTTTGCAGAGAGAGCTTTCAATATCTTGGCAAGAAGAGAGCACCAAGCCAACAGACACTAGCCGGACTGGGTCCTGTATTTGATATAAATCTTAATATTCAGAGCCATAGGAATTTTTTCCCTGTGCCTATGATTTCTTTCTACATTACTAAAATTTGTAAGAAAAATGAAAAAATGCCATAGGCCAGGCTACATTCAGTACGCATCTCTAGGTGTGCAATGTGGCCAAAGGAAAATGCATAGCCTTGCTTTTCCCTCTCATTCTCATGGAAATAAACAGTCCAAGAAATAGAACACTCACTTTTTAAGGACCAGATGTTCATTTACCCCATGGCGCTGGTTATAGAGAGCAGGGCCCCAAGAAGTCCAGCCTGCCAACGTAAATGTGGCACTGACAGCCAAGAATGTGAGAATGTCATCTGGCCATCCTCACCATATACTCTTGCCACACTTCAAGTGGATGGCTCAGTGGTCCATGCCCAAACAATCATCATTCTGAAAGCTATTACATTCTAGGATTTCTTTTACTTTCTTTTTCCCCCCATCACCATTTATTCCCTCTATGCCCTTTTCCACCTCCACCCCCACTGC